TAGCTACATGTAAAACAATGAAATTCGAATATTTTCTAACACTATATGCAAAAATAAACTCAAAATAGATTAAAGACCTAAATATGAGACCATAAGCCATAAAACTCCCAGAAGAAAATATAGGCAGAACACTGTTTAACATAAATCATAATAATATTTTTTTGGATCTGTCTCCTAAGGCAAAGGAAACAAAAGCAAAAATAAGCAAGTGGGACCTAATTAAGCTTAAAAGCTTTTGCACAGCAAAGGAAAACTATCAACCAAAGGCAAAGATAACCTACTGAATGGGAGAATATATTTGCAAATGGTATGAATGATAAGGAGTTAATATCCAAAATACATAAATAGCTCATACAACTCAATATTCAAAAAAAAACCCTGTTTAAAAATGGGCAGAAGATCTAAATAGACATTTTTCAAAGAAAGATATACAGATGGTCAACAGGCCAATGAAAATATGCTCAACTTCGCTAATCACCAGAGAAATGCCAATGAAAACCACAATGAGATACCACCTCATACCTGTCAGAATGACTATCATCTAAAGGAACACAAAAAACAAATGTTGGCAAGGACATGGAGAAAAAGGAAGCCGTTGTACACTGTTGGTGGGAATGTATATTGGTGTAGCCATTGTTAAAACCAGTATGGATGTTCTGCAAAAAACTAAAAATAGATCTACTATATGATCCAGCAATTCCATTGCTGGATATTTATCTGAAGAAAATGAAAACACTAATTTGAAATGATACATGAACACCAATGTTCATAGCAGCATTATTTACAATGGCCAAGATACGGAAGTAACCTAAGTGTCCATTAACGGATGAATGGATGAGGAAGATGTGATATATATATGTATATATACATGTACACTCAGTGGAATACTACTCAGCCATAAAAATTGAAAATTTTGCCATTTGCAACAACATGGATGGACCTGGAGGGTATTATGCTTAGAGAAATAAGTCAGACGAAGACAAATACTGTATGATATCGCTTATATGTATAATTTAAAAAATACAACAAACTAGTGAATATAACCAAAAGAAGCAGATACAGAGAACAAATTAGTGGTTACCAGTGGAGAGAGGGAAGGGAGGCTGAGGGGATCAATAACTTGGCCCTATCAGTAATCCATTCATGGCACACAAGTGGTGGTGGCAAACCAGTTGGGAAGTTCTGTTTAACTGAAGTTGGGGTTTTCTAAAGTTTTCAGTAGAACATATCCTCATGGATACAATATACATAACCTTTCTAAGTGGAGGGAGGCATGGAGGGAAGGATGGATGAAGCCTGATCATACACGTATTGGTGAATTCAGAATTCTGTCATATTCAGAGCATCCCAGTAAAGGCATGTCAGGGTATCACAAGAGATAATCAAGGTTTCATTAGAAAGAGAACTTGGTTTTGCTTCTCTCTGTACTTCTCACTTCATTCTTCTCTCTGCATGAAAACTGGCTTTCTGTGCTTCTCCCACCAGATGGCAGGAGATGGCTGCCCCACCTTACCAGGCCCAGTGATAGTGGACTCAGGTTCTGGAACTACGCTACCTGAGTTCAAATCCTAGCTTTACAACTAACTAGCTGTGTGACCTGGACCAGGAAACTTAACCCCTCTTGGGCCTTGATTTCCTCATCTCTAAACTGTTGATAATGTTTTGTACATCAATAGGGTTTGGGGAAGAATTAAATCCATTAAACTATGTAAAATCATTTTCAAAGGTGAGCACTATATCATTTTTAGCTATTATTATTTTTGATTCCCAGGCAAGAAAATCTGATTGGTTCCATTTGGGCCAGTGGTCCACTCCTGGACTGATCCCATGGTCATACTTTACATAGCTCCATATACTGCTACTCCTTCAAGCTACATACCTCAGCTATCATTTAATATTTGACTGAGGACTGTATTCACCACTAGACTCCAGGACCATCTGCTTGTGCTCACCATTTTACTCTCAGGGCCTAATGCAGTGGTCAGAATCTCCGTGAAGTACAATTCTATGGCACACCATTAACATTATATTTTATATGCAATATGATTGCTTGATGGTGGCCCAGTCCCAATAAATATGCTGAGTTAATGGTCCAACCCACTATGGCTGGGGGTACAGCTATTGGCTGCAGGGGTCTAACCTAATGAGTGGGGAGGCAGCTCTTAACAAAACGGGGATAAAGCTGAATAGAAACTTCCAAGTATATCTACTACGTGCCTCATGTGGCCAGGCACAGGGAATACAAAGTCAGACAAATATCAGGCAGACATTGTTGGCAGTATAACTTCCCCCTCACTTTGTCCTTAGTTTGGCATCTCTAACTGTTCTTGGGTATCAACATATGCAGGGAAGGAACCCCAGGCTCAGAGGTTGAATCATGATTGGCTTACACTGGGTATGGTAACCACTCTCACCTTTGTGGCCCAGTTGTGATCAATGACACGTAGGGAGAAATAGATTTAAGGGGCAAATGAGAAGACTTTGTTTCCAAATGTAAATTAACACAGTGAGAAATCCTGCCCCTTTCTCCTGCCTAGATGTCAAACCCAAAATTTTTATGTTTAAAATTATTTATTCATTTAGAAGTATAGTTGATCTCTCTACTATTTTTGGTAACTTCTTGTGAATCTGTCATTATCTCAAAATAAACAAAAAATTTTAAAGATACAAGGGTTGGTAAGTAAGAAATAAAATATTACTTTCAGGTACATAGTAAACTAAAGAATTAAGGGGTATAACTTAGTGGTAGAGTGCATACCTAACAAGCACAAGGTCCTGGGTTCAATCCCCGGTACCTCCATATTAAATAAATAAATATGTAAATAAACCTAATAACCTCCCCTGCCTCAAAAAAGATTAAAAAAAAGAAGAAGAAGAAGAAGAAAACTAAAGAATCTACAAATTACTTAAATTAATAACAGAATTTAGCAATGTTGCTGGGTATAAGCTCAATAAGCAAAGATATTTACATTTTTCTAATTGACAACAAACGTATTTTCAGAGGATATCACTTGCAATAGTAACAAACAAGATAATTAAGACTAAATCTCAGAAAATGAAAAACTGTAAACCTTTTGAAGTCACTAAAATTTGAAATAAATGGACAGACATGTCCAACATGTTCATAGATAGGAAGATTCAATAGTATAATACTCTCCAAACTTAAGTAGCAACAAACAGTTTAGTTCGTACTCCCCTTACATAAGGGCTGCAGACTCCCTGGGGCAGAACAGAATTGTAGGCTGGGAGCCTTCCTCGTATGCTGGGAGGTTTAGGAGTCTCCTTTCATTAGATGCCCAAAGACTGTGCCCACTTGGAGACGGGAAAGTGTGATCTCCAAGCAGCTCACCTACTGCCTGCTTTGACTCTCACGAGCCAACAGCTACTCACCCCACCCCCACCCCCCAGCCTCGCTGTGCCTGCCAGGAATTCCTATTAATTAAGGTCTGGGAACAACTGCAGACCGGTTAGCTCCCAGGAGCAGTCACATGCCTTGCAGGCTGGCTTCTGTTCCTTTCCACAGAATTAATGTACGATCAGCTTTGACTGCCCACGAATGTAACTTAAAACTCCATCTCATCTAGACTTTGTGGTGACATCATAAAAGCCTCCCAGAGGAATGGAGCGCTTTGTATCTTTGCAGGTTTATTCAAGGGACTAGCTAGGAAAATTCTTTAATCTGGAAAAGTAGGAAGAGTAGGAAGGAAGGAAGGAAGGAAGGAAGGAAAGAAAGAAAGAAAGAAAGAAAGAAAGAAAGAAAGAAAGAAAGAAAGAAAGAAAGAAAGAAAGAAAGAGAAAGAGAGAGAAAGAGAGAAAGAAAGAAAGGGAAAGGAAGGAAGAAAGAAAGGAAGGAAGGGAGGGAGGAAGGAAGGGAGGGAGGAGAGGAAAGAAAAGGAAAGAAAAGGAAAGGAAAGGAGAAAAAGAAAGAAAGGTTGCTTACCTTGACCTCGGGAGAAGGGAGGTTTCACCTAGAACTCGGTGGTGACCTGCCTGGGGAGAAATCCAGGGCTGATGGGCAGGGAAAGGGAATGTGTTCTTCTAACAGCTCCAGATGGGGAGTGACGGGGATGGGAACAAATCTGAAGATGGCCTAAGGACACTCAGAAGAGAGGTTTCACACTCTGCCAGGTAAAACTCTAGTTGTGACTATGGGGTTGGGAGAAGCCCCGATGTAGGTTAGGAAAATCAAGCACTTACCCTTCCCTGGTATGGAAAGAGCTGTTTGGATTTCTCCTGCCTAACGTTCCCTGAAGGAAAAAGGGAGACAAACATCTTAAGAACAAGGAGAAACTTATCATGTTCCTTTTCCCCTGGAAACCAGGCCTATTTCAGAGGAGATCAGAAAAATCCAGTTCAAATAAGCTCAGATAAGCCTGAAACTCCATTCTAGGGTTCCGCCTTCCCCTGCAGCTCTCCGTGTTCGGAGAGCAGACAACCTGTCAGGTTCTTCAAAAGGCTGAAAGAGGTCCCACTCATTCACTCATTCATTCAGCAATAATTTACTGAGTGCTCGCCATGTTCAGGGGATCTCGTCTAGATACTTAAGAAATTGCTGTGAAAAACAGACAAAAACAAACCAAGTTAATGGTACATAAAGTGTGATTTGAATATAGAAGTGAGGAACGTTCAATGCTTTCGTCTGTTTCATACGGGATGCTTCCGACAAGCTACTAACAGACAAGCTGTTTGGAATACAGGCTTCCTTTCTTCTCTCCCGCTCTCTAATGAATCTGGATCATTCATCATTGTTCAGTTTCCATTGAGCCATCCCAGTTAAGAGACCTACGAATGTACTGAAATACTCACTTGGCCACAGGTTGAAGGATGGTTTCTCTCTCTTCCCGAACCCCTCCTCCCTCCCATAAACCTCCAGGCAACGCCTGCCTGGAAAATGCGACTGCGTCCCCCGTTCCCCTCTTTCTAA